TTTCAATATTTTTTCATATCGGTATATTTAAATTAACTTTTTGTCACCATAGGTGACATCAGCTACTTTTCAGTTCGCCTGCAACAGAAATCTGCTAGACTCAACCATCCGTAATTTGTTGCATAACAAGCTAATGCGCTGCTAAAAAACTTAACTGATTCATGAGTATTACATTTAATCGTCGAACTCTTTCGCGTAAATAGTCCATCACCAACATTGCGTGTTTATTTTTTATAAATTATAAAGTATAATTATTAGAAAATATGCACATATATTAAACGTTATATACTATAAAAACATGTAGAAATAAGACGACCTGAATAACACGATAATATAACTTCAATTTTATTGCTTATACAGAGTGTCCCCGACTAACCGTATTATCCTTAATAGCAGATTTCTGAAGTCATTTTGAGACGAACATTTTTATACCAAAATAACGAAGCTATAATAATTTTTAGATAGAAAGTGTTTAAAGTTGATCAATTAGATTGCCAAATATTCTCGTACTCAGGCATATTGATTTTTATATCCTAACTATATGAGAAATCTGCTATTAATGGGTGATACAGTTGGTCTAGAACATCCTGTATAACTCAAAATTTTCAACTAGAAATTGAACTCTCGACTTTTATTTTGCGAGTTTAATCCTTAGAAAATAATTTTCTACTTTTTTAGATTTCAAATTGTCCATTGTTATCTACTGCTTTGTTATCGTTTTTTAATATGCTACTTTTTCAACGCGCAATGTTGTTGCAATAATCGATTTCAATACTGACCAAGAATCTTAACTTGAATAATTTTACGGCGACATCATGACGACCGATCGCCGCTTTCATCTCCGGTGTCTCGGTAAGAGTTGCATAACGAATTTATAGGTAACGAAAGGGCCGGTAACGAGGGAACAAACGACTCCTTGTCTCCGGAGACAAGTCGCGCTGGTACGAAACAACCGTTACGGCGATTTAGGTGTCGAAAGTCGAACGTCGTTTCCAGCGCTAGAGACAGCGGCAATTCATATCTCCGGCGGCGGTCGTCTCAGCGAGAAACGTGGAAATCCTTGAACCGCGTGCCGTCATGAGTCTACCTCTAATCACTACTTATAACCAATAAGTTGGGTCGTGACCTCTCACGACACACGTCCGTGGAATTGCAATCTGCACCATCGATCGAACTGTCTTGTAGAGTGAATAAGCCATTCGTCGTGTCATCTGAATTAAATATTTGTATACGATCTTAATAGACAACAAATAGATCAATCGATCGAAGGAGTTTTTCAGAATTCTTACAACGCGCAATGTATTTTTATGAATTCATGTGGAAAATTTGTAGCTCTCAGAAGTTCTAAATCAATTTAAATAAATGACAATAATGTATATACTATAATAGATTTTAGATAGATAACGCAATGAACTAATTCCCTATGTTTAAAAATTGAAGATAATTATTCGATGTCTTATACATTCGAAAAAAACACATAAGTATAAGATTGTTGCTACATCGAGCAAAATAAAACACACGTGCGTCACCGGCGTCAGCTATAAATGCGAAATATTGATGTACTCAATTTATCTCGAGCTAATCACGAAGATACGCATCCGTAGCAATAAAATTTTTATTGGGCGACTATATCTTGATTGCGCGCCATGAATCTAAGTGCTTAGCAACAGGCTCGTTGGAGTACGATTAAACCGCGATTCCGACGATTCGCGTCAATGCGAGCTGACAACAGCGTCGATGATGAAGAATCATGTGAATTGCGTTCTCTGTCCATTTTCGGGGACCTCTTCGCGAAGAGCAGATGGTAATTTATGCTGGGAACGGAAATTTAAACGAGATGTCTCGTGCACCGAGATACAATTAACTCTCGGCGGAAGAGGGATAAAGCGAGGATCGATTTTGTCCCACAGCTACTCATCAACCTCGAAGAACAAAGACAACTATCTTGTTTAATTGATACGCTCTGGCTCTAATCGACGAATCTCGGCGTAAAGTAACCAAAATTAACTGGAATCGTTATTTCATTGATAAAATGGTCAAATTTTTAGATTTGAAAAGTGGAATGTCAATAGATTTAATACTCTCGTCAAAGTCGTTAGCGCAGAAAGAAAATAAGGACGCAACAAGTTTTGCCATTTCAGTTAAATTATTATTTCAGCAGAGAGAAGCCCTGAATTTTTTATAAACGTTCTGAAACGTCTTTTTAAATTTGCTTAAATATTGACTTTTAAATTATCGTACATTATACGTTAACAAAGTTTATTTTACACGTTAATTCCAACCTTTCACACGTCCGTTTTGCGCGACATAAATTTTTCATTGCTCTGTATTATCAATGCGGTGCAATTTAAGGGATACACGGTGACACACGGATACAACTGATTACGTGCAGCTATCGTAAATCAGCCGGGTTATTATTTTACGATGGGTGCAATTTTGTTGCGATCATTGGTAGTAAATCGTGGCCGGCGTCGCGCGAGTCTCGGGAGACGGAATGTTAATGTTTGCATAATTATGATAACTTGCACCGCGATGCTATGTTGTTATTTTATCCTTATGAGTTATTAACATTTTATGATGATTTACGTGCAAAAAAGAACGCGCACGGAGAAAATGTCATTTCTGTAGTATTCATGCAACACCTGTTACCGTCCAAGTAAATCAATTTTATTTATTACTTCCCCTTTTCTCCGTAATTTTCTGAATATTACCCGTTATATCCGAAGTATTATAATTAATATAAACAATAATATCGTATTCACATTTCCGATAAGCTTTTAACATATAACTATTTTATTATTTAATACCTATATTAATTTTAATATAAAAAACCGCACAAACTTTTCTGATTATCTGATAAATTGAAAGAGAAATTAATGACTCTCATTTATGAGAAAAATGGGTACTCGAAGTGATAAGTTGTTGTTTATTCATGTCACTATGTAAAGTATTGGTGTAACTAAATGTGTAATCGCGCAAATATTTATTAGCTTTTCTCCTGATCTCCAATCTTCCTCATCAGCGAGTTCTCGAGGGAAGCTTAAGCTTTCTCTAAGGCATGATAGCGATCCATTTGTCGAGGCACGCCTGATTGATTTCATAAATCCTCCGGAATGACCTACGGAGACCTCCTCCGTTCTGCTCTGTAAGCCAGTCGCGAAGGAGGCCCCTTTTAATACCTCGCACTACACGCGTCCCTTACACAAGATTAGACTGCATGAAATTAGGATAAGGCTGGAATGCATTCATCTCGATGCTAAGTCTCCCTTTATCGTTTACCATAAATAATGCATCACATGGAGGGTATTCTACTTCTATCGAATTAATTTTCCGTGTTAGACTTTTTGATAATTCCAAAATTAATTTTCCTTATTGAAAATTTTAATGTACATTGCCATTTTTTGCAAATTTTTAATTTGCAACATTACATATTTTTGTAACTAACTCTTGAATTAAAATTTTATGCGAAAAATCTATTTAAAATTTATTGATACATTGATATTTTTGTTTGAGGAAACGGGATTTTAAATTAGTCTCAAAAATATATTATTTAAATCTGATTTAATTAAAGTGGAGCACCCTGTGAAGCTTCATTTCGCTACACTCAACGCAAGAGATTCTGATTAAATATTCTCGATACTTTGTACATAAAACCTAGTATAATACGTAAACTCTTCATTTAAACGAGTTTAAATTTAAATAAATTTCTATTAAATATAAATTTAATAACTTGCTTCGGCAATTTAATGTTAAGTATTTAAACGTAAACTCGTAAAAATCAGTTTCTAAACTTCTGTAATAAATCTCGACTAAAAATCTTGTTTATTTTCAATTAACCGATAATTGCGCACATTTTCGACGCATTAGCGTACTCCGCGTGTTTCTCTCGTGGAAATGAATCGCTTTTATCCCGCGTAAGATCTTTCGTTTATCGAGCTGCTAGCGACGGCCAAGATCCTTTTATAGGTGCCACGTAAATCCGCGCTTTATCTTAATTTCAGGTAGCGGATCGTCGCGCCTGTTTGGCTATCTCCATCATTTTCCGGGTCGCCTATCTGCGTTGTTTCTTAATAGAACGAGCGTATTTCCGAGGTGCGGCGCGGCACGGCATAACGAGATACGTGGAGGGATAGTAAAGTTGGACACTATGCACTAATGCGGGCGGGTTGACGCGAACGATTCCGACACAGTCAACTTGATTAAAGCTCTCTTTCATCCGGTCTCCCGTTACGCTTTGACGTGAAATTTTCACAGATAATTAATCATTCTATCGAATCACTTTATACAGCATGTCACTAAACTACTATACATTTTCTCTAATCTTGTATTAAAAGCCAAGCTAAGGAAAGTGGTATTTGAGTACTATCTATGGTTATTTAATATGGAAAGATAAATGATTTTAACAAAATATATAAGATCTGTGAAGGATAAGATAAATGTAGAAATTATTTGTACAACAAAATAAAAAAATTTTTAAGATTATTCACTTCCAATCTTTTCAAAGATTTTGTTATATTAACGCTATTTTTCCTAACGAGTTTATCTGTTGTATTACAGCGTGCGACTGTCATCCGATCGGAGCTTCTGGAAAGACCTGTAACCAGAGCAGCGGCCAGTGTCCCTGCAAAGACGGTGTAACCGGTATTACTTGCAACAGATGCGCCAGGGGCTACCAGCAGAGCAGATCGCATATTGCGCCTTGCATCAGTAAGTATACGCCCACGCGTGCATTCACCATACTTGATACCCGGTTTCATTGCCGCGTTTATCTTTTATTTCGATTTCGTTTCCGCCGGCGCTCGTCAACCCCCTCGAGCCATAAGCTCGTTTTATACGCCAGGAATATTGGTACAACGGAAAAGATTCCGACTAAGACTATTTCGACCACGGAGAATAAGGAAATTTCCTTGCGCTTAGATGACGGTATGGTAAATTTAGAGAAATTCTGCGAAATTGTTCAAAGAAAATGAAAAAGCGCCTTCCTGAAGAAGCTGATATTTGCGGTTGCATTTCTCCGAAATATGTTTAACGAATTTTAAGCTTCTAGTTTTTCAATAATAATGAAATATATTTAGTATGTAAAATGTACATTTAGTATGTAAAACTTATTGCGAATTTAAAATGGATTGTGCGACAAGTTATTCGAGAATGAGAAAAGTATCACAAGTGTTCTTTTCTGTCACTTCAACTTATCTCGTCGATGTATTTGCTTACATGCTGTGACACAAAAACGTGCAAGTTGCTTGACCAAAAGGAAATGCAAAAAATCAATCGCCAAGTCGATTTCACGATCGATCTTTCGGCCTGCTACCAGGGTGGCGAGATCGACCAAAAAAGGCGCCGTTCGACCACACCCGTGCTTCCCTCAAGAATGATCGATCGATCGATCGACAGGAACACGCGACGATCTCGGCGCACGATCTCCCCGCGCTTGTCCAATTAGGCGAAATTTGCGAAAACGTGCGTGCATCAGGATCGATGCTCATCCTTCGTTCTCACCGCTGCGGGCGGCTTTTTAGTTTCAATTCAATCAAGAATGAGTGTTCTGCCACGAAGGACTACACTATGTCGTTGTCGGTACTTTTGAGCACCGTGAAGATACGATGCTTGAAACTTTTATCGCGCATAAAAAACACGACAGACAAAAAGAAATTTAATGTAGAAAAAAAACATTCCCCGCGATTGATCGGGCTTTAAACAATATGCTTAAATTTTGCAATTTTGCATTGCTTGTAATTAAAAAGCAGCGAACAGAACATAATATAAATTTTTAAATGCGCGTTAAAAGAGATTCGAAGATGACATTTTATTAACAATTTGTATGTTTAAAAAAAGTAGAACTAAAAGCAGATATTTTCTATAAAAAAATCTTCTCTGCATACGAAAAAAACAGTTATTGATCTGAGCACGAAAGTCTTGGCGTAAATACGCGCGGAGTTAATTTGAACTTCCGTTTCCACTCATACCCTCATTTATTTGATATTTTTGCAGAGATACCCAGGGTCGTGCAGACGCAGGGCACGGCCGGCGAGGAGAGCGGTGAGCACGAGGACGACGACGACGAGCGCGGATACGACGGACGAGCTGGTAAGTAAGTGCAAAGTAAACTCAAAGGTGCGTATACACTGAGCAAATGAACAACGAACAGCGAACGCAAATCTGCAGGTATTCGTATTCGTGTTCGTTATCCTTTTATCCTTTTTCACTTGTGTTGGTACCGACATAGAAAGCGAAAGAGATTTGATGATTGCTACTAAGAGTTTAATTAACTCTGGCTAAAGTAAATGCAACTGCATACAATCATTTTGTTGTTTTGGACATCAATAAGTAATTCAACTGCATTAACTAAAGATTTCTTTAAAAGATATTTTTTAATTTAATTTTCTTATTATAATTAATACAATATATTTTATATATTTTTTTGTTTCTGAAGAATATATTTGTATTAAATTAATACTGTGCTGGTGTTTAGGAATTTGTATACTATATTTATTAAGCACTGCTGTATATGTGAATCATGTTTCATATATTCTTTGCAATGTACATATTTTCCGAACTCCGACAATAATTTGCATTTGTTTTTGGTTCGTTATTCGTTCGCTCAGTGCATACGTATTTCCACACGCGATTATACTTCATTCGTTCGCGCGCTAACTATCCTGCAACCGAACTACTTGATATTCCGAACGTTACGCCGCGAACACCACATTGAAGTTTCCGTTGGTGACACATTCAGCGGCGTAAAAATCGCTAGTGAACGATGGGAAGAAGATGAGACGGATGAGTGAGGGAGAGGAGAAGAGATAACATCTCGACAGACAAGCGATGTTGGTGTAGGTCGGTATTCTGATGTCATGTATTCAATACTACATGTCTCTGTCTGATTGTCAGTTACACTTGTCTTATATGAAGGTTTAATATAAACGAGAGATGAGAGTCAAACACTCGGTACGCATATAGCGCTTGTGTGAGATGAGTACGAACATAATAATTTTCTAAGTAGTTTGAGAGTGTCATGTGTCCATTATAACATCAAAGTAGCGTTGAAAAAAGAATACTTATTTCGAAATAATAGATTACAAAGAAAACGAAATTTAAGAAAATTTATCATTGAAACTACGTATCTATATTCCAAAAATATTTTAATCTTTTATTTTTTACAATAATATCTTAAGGAATTTTCATTGGTGATATTTGATATTTATATAAAAAGAATTTGTAAAAGAAACTTTCCGAACTTTTGATACATCCTATATGCGCGTAAATTGAATAAACTTCGATGGGGATCAGCGTCTGCGCGCGATTATTTCCGCAAATTTAACAGGAGTCAGGGTGGAAGGAAGTCGATCTGGATACGAGTCTCGTCGCCACGTGGTAGAACGGAATGCGGGTGCTATATTAATTTAGCAGACAGTGCCGGTGAGCGAGTGAGACGGAGAAAAGAGGGTCGGAACGTCTAGCCGTTCGGTCGTAGCCTCTCAGCCACCCCTAATGGCTTAATTAAAACTACCCTCGCTTGTGGCTCGTCCGTTTACGCCACGTTTCCGCTCACGCACACGATACGCGATTTTCGCGGTAAGCTCGTAGCCGTGTAAAGTAAACGAATCCCTTTCTCGAGACATCAATATATCTCGATGGATTTAACTTCTAGATATTTGCGGTATTTTCTGAAGTATTAAAATCACGCTGAGTCTAAAAGGGGTAGAAAATTGATTAACTCACTAACATATATGCAAATATTTCACTTAAGTTCCTCAGTAGCTTTATTTTAAGCTGAGCAATCTATTTTCACAATTATGTAATATTTTTTCTATTTGTATAATTAAACATTATATATAGAGAGAATTTAATTAAGTTAAAAATTTATTGTAGAAAGTAAGTTTTATTTAAATTTTATGAAAAATTCATATTGCCTGTATGAAAAATTCAAAAAATTTTGAAATTTTATATGTAGGAAATTTTAAAAGTTCTGAAACAGTTGCCGATGCATATTTATACAGTTATTGACTTTAAAATTTTAATGAAAAAGCTTAATTTCTTAACTTAATGTCTTCTAAACACTCTCTTAAGATGTTTTAATATCTTTGAATCCTACAAGAAAAACGATTTCTTTCATCGCTTAAAACTGGTTTAATTTACATGTAAATTGGTTTCTTATTATAACTCTAATTATAGCATTGATCACAGCTTTGAGATAAAAAAACAAAGTTAAATTTAATTATAATTTTATAATTGTTCCTTTTATCGTGAAAAATATTGAAAAATATTGAAAAATATTCTAACGTCAAATATATTCACATACGTGCATTGCAATTTTCCAATATTAATCCTGCATTGCATGGCAAAAATCGGCATCAACAAGCTTTCTATTCGGTAATATCCACTATTCAAATAAACAGATAAATTTTTTATTTAAAACTTGTAAAACTTGTAAAACCATGCTGGCAATGGGATCGGGCGGAAAACTGATGCATGAAAAGCGAGAGGCTCTCACGCAATTGTCATCCCCCTCGAGTTCTCTTGTTGTATCAAATGTATGTGCTTCCACCCACGCGTGCTTAATATAACGCAGACTGTAGATTACGCTCCCTGCATTTCGAACACGAGTGAAATATCGATGCGTGAAGAAGGGCATCGCGATCGCATCTGGAGCCAGATTTGCCCTGCGGTTGTTGCGGTCTTAATTATCAGACGTCGCACAAACGTCGCGGAGATAACAATTTCTGTTCAACCATTATTTCCTAACAATCTCTGATATTAATCACATACGTAAAAATTCAAACTTTGCTGGAATGTTAATTTTATTTTCATAACTGCGTGTTTTTTAATGAGTAAATTATATTATGCAGTATTCGAGTGACGCTACATGATCACTTTTCGCTAATTCTGGAACATCCTGTATAGTTGACGATCTTGCGAGCTAATTAGTTTACGTATCGAAGCGAGAATTATCACGGCCGCGAAACCGATTTTGCTCGCGCGCGTTTTCGCGTTCGCGTTTCTTTACGAGACACATAGAAGTTTCGCTGCCCACGCGGCGCGCATAATTCCGCGCGTAGATTACGCCGCGACACCACCTACTCCGTCCGCGCCGGAGTGAAATATCGACGCGCGAAGGAGAGTAGTATCGCAATCGAATTTACACCTGGCGAGTGTCGCGCCGAATGGCGCTGTCGTTGTAAATTCTTGCGGGGAAACTGCCGCGGGAACGGCCCGCGTAAATTATCCGCCGTAATAGGCCTCCTGGAAATACTCCTTTCCATTTTCCTTCCCGCGGAATCGCATCCCTATTTCGATAATGCCGCGATAACGCTTTAAATCAATGATCCTCATATAGCGGGTGTCTCAAGGACAGATAACGAATGCTACACTAAGAAAATGATGCTCGTTCTAATAAGAAAACGTTAATGATTACACAGATATTTTACATTGCAAATTATTGTTTGGTTCCATGCACTTGGAATGGTTGCATCACTCGATTAATTTTACATATAATTTATTTTTGATAGAAATTTTTGAAGCTCAATATAAGCTAAAATATTTTGTATAGAAAATTTAAAAATTCAAGCTTAATTTTATCAGATATTCTGATAAGTTTGAGACATCCTGTGTAATAAATCGATTTCAGATTAAATCGCACATATTGATTGGTATTAAAAAACGCCGGGCCAAACTGGTGCCAGCTGATTTATACACATACTCATTTTGGATCTCAAAGTAGCGATCAAGATAAACCTGATCCTGATTTTCACGTATTCGAAATTTCATTAAGACGAAGTCCACTGATCACGCTTCGTGCTCGCCTCTCGCGTGCAGGTTTCAGACTTCATTACCGGTTTTACTCTCGCGCACTTCTTCTCTCGTTACTTCGCCCGGTGGTAAAAGCAAGGCTACCTTTTAGCTCTTTATTTTTCAATTTCCGCCTTAACTTTGCGATTCTGGAGCAGTCGATCTACAGTGAGCCTTGTCGTATAACGATTTTATGTTATCGTACCCGCGCGAGTAAGCAGATATAAAAAAAGAGATAAAGTGATATCGGAAAACATCGGAACTTGCCCGTAAACTGTTACTTAGTACTTGAGAAAATAACATTGCGATGATGCACATCATCTATGTGTACGTTCAAGTGAGCACTTTAGGTGAGTATACCGTGCATGCCTACAAACATCATCGGCGAATATTATTCGAAGAAGATTTGCGTATTTTGATTGCGAATAGCATAGAATGCGTTTCAAGTGCAGTCGGTCGACGATGTTTCGTGTCTATATTTCATAGATCAGTCAATTTCAAATGTCACATCGTTGCGTGAAGATATTGCTGTAATATATTATCTTTACGTATGCGAATGTACGCGTGCATCAAGCTATAAATAAAATATAATGGATGAATTCCTAACTAAAATGTTAAAGCAATTTTCTAAAATAAAAAGCTGCGCTATTTTCTGCAAACAAATCAATATTTATGTCTTTTTCACGACTTTCTCTCTTAATCTTTTTAATATTTATTCCTCTCTTTTCTAATAATGAATGACACTACAACATGACAGGTACCGTACGGTTTTCGGTTAATTATATAAAAACCCCGGGCAAAAAAGTCGTATATTGAATCTTATAGTAAATATATGCTCCGCATCGCTGATGAACAGTTTGTAGGTGTGTTCGATGCTTAACGTCTACATATTATTACAATATAAGGCGAGTCTCAGAGTGACGAACGAGTCTCGCATTGCAGAGGAGATCCACTTGACGCGATCCGCCTACGCGGTGCAAATCGCACGGCCCGCCGCGAACCGGCGCGATCGTCATCGAATACACGGCCGGGCTCGTTACCGGATCTCACGCGGGCCTTCCGCCGCCGCGAGGATGGGCCTCGCGCGCTCTCACGTGTCCGCCCTCGCCGTTATTCATAAGCAGCGCGGTAATTACGGCGAACTGGTAGCCCTCGGCTACCTTACCCCCGCGTGTTCCTGGTCGGAAAGGCAGCCTCCTCCCTCGGTCCGCGGTATTATCGCGTGTAACGTAAGCGCGCATATCCGGCGTATGCATTCCGCGTCACGGATCGCATCTATATGTTAATGCCACGCCGCG